GTTTGAGTTTCATGTTATGTTATGGTAGTTCCAGATTTACCGTTTGCATTATATCAGATGCTGAAATCAGCAAATTTTTATGGAAATACTATCTCCTACAAAGACACAACTGTTGGATGTATTCCAAAATAATGTCATTAACAGCATTTTATAAGTAATCCTGCTGCGTTTTGCTTCCTTCAGGCAACATGCCTTTTCAATTAATTAAGTTTCATCAGTCCAACTGAGGCCACATTTACGGAGCTTAAATGCCATAAAAGGAGAAATTTATATCCTATATTTTTTATAACTTCATTCCTTCACTGGTTGAAAACCTTATTAAAGGTACTTTGCTTAACTCTTTTATTTTGCTTGTGCATTCACTGCTATTCACTGCTAAATAACACTGTTATTTGACATGTAAAATACAACAGAGTGGCAAACACCAGTCAAAACATTTTCTGAAAAGACTTGTTTTCAGGAAGTATACAGGGGAAGATAATTATTGTTGCACAATGTCTGAACATATATATATTGTACTTGGCGCTACAGTACGTGTCCAGGCATATGCATTGTCAAAATATTTCCTTTTGTTTGCTTTGACAGTTTTTTCAGAAACTTCATTTGCAGAATCATCCTAAGCAGACAAAAGAAAAAATACATGGTCTAGCAGAACAACTCTGTATAAGAGCTATGAAAAGAAATGACAGGATAATGTACCATATATAATGTAGGTCTTTAACCATAACACTGACATTTATTCCTCTATACACATTTCTGAATTGAAGACTACGTCTCTCTTCCTGATAATTGTTTATGAAAGCCCTCATGTTATTTCCTGTGCATGAATAAGACGTGCAGCAGAAAGAGAAATTGTTCCCTGCTGCCTTTGTATTTCAAAAGACTGCTGCTTGTTAAGGCACATCTTATATTTTTATACATAAAGCCTGATTCTATTAATTGACAATAATTGCCTTTGCAGGCACCACACTATCTCAGCCCATTTTCAGCACAATGAAGAACACTCAAACCTTTAATCAAAAGATGAAAGCAGAATAACAGTTCCTGCTTGCAAATCTTTCGAAATTCTGTCATAGGTTTTTCCCTGTCACAGAGTAATCAGATGTAAACCACATGTGTTTAGGTCTTCTGGTGATCAATTTGCAATGAAGAAAATATTTTGGACCCTTCCTGATCCGTCTGAATACCTCTGGAATACAGCTGTGAGAAAATGAAACATCTGTCAGGATAGTTTAGACGTCATAAGGTCAAAAATATGTCTACATGATTACCTTGTTCAGTTATCCTAGCAAATTTCTCCTTCAGAATATAAGACCCATGGAAATTGTACAAGTTTGGGTGAATGCTATGAGTTGCACTATGCTTGTTCTTTTATTAGTTACCTATTCATCTCATCGTGGCTTTTAATGAGTAATCCTAACAACTCAAGTTTTACAGTGTTAAGCAGAAGATGATGATGATTATAATAGAGAACTACACTCTTTGGCTACAAGGCCTCATACAGAAACAGATGCCCATCAATGCATTTAACTGCTTTCAAAGACAAGCACAATAAGCGTATGATCAGTACTTTACTGCTCCTTTCTATGACAGTACTGTAAGATGTGATATTAACAGCTGTACAGTGAACACTAGAATCCACACTTGTGGTCTTAGATGTGTCTGGAAGATATAAAAAGTGTCTAGGAATGCCTACCGATGACAATGATTAAGTAGCCTGAGAATGAATTTACAAAAGTCCTGCCCTCAATATGTCAACAGTCTGTTAATGACTGTTTTTCGATTGTGGAGAAAAGCAGGTGCATTACAGGCAAAGAAAATGGAAAGCTAAAAATTATACACATTACTTAAATCTCACAATGCTACATTTCTTTCAATAACCAATATAGCTCTCAGTTTTAACCTAATACACGTGAAAGCTATCTGGTAAAAACTAGGCATTATCTAAACTAAAAACACAGACTTCATGAATAAATGTATTCCTTGAACTAATTTTTCCAAAAGGTTAGGCACACTTAGATTCAGTACTTAGCTTGGAAAAAAACAAAAGAGTTGTTTAGTTCATAAACATAAACTGGGTGGTATTTTAATGAAGCCTGGATGTCAGTCAAAAAAACTGTTTGCGTACTATACATAAAAAAGCAGAGAAATGCTGACAAGGCAGGGAGGACGTCAATTCTGAACAATTCTGTAACTCAATAAATTTGAACTGTTTACTTCTGTTGATACTCCCAGTTACTAGCAACAGTTTTGTCATAAAACGTGCTTAAAATATCCATCAAAGCCAAAACTATAAGGAAGAAAGCATGGAAAGAAATGTTAACAGATTTTTAAAGAGTACAATACTGATTATTAGAAAAAGTTTATTTTTCTTCCTTTTTATTTCCTCTGGACAGTCATAAGCTTAATCGATTTGAATACAATAGAAGAATTTGGGGACACAATTCCAACTTAAAAGGAAGTGTATTCAGACCCATGAACAGAAGGATCTATTTTTTATACTTTTATTTCACTAGGAAAGTGAACGGGGATTGAATGCTCGATTACAATGATGACCAGGTGATACATTCATGAATCAGGGCATTCACTGGTGTAGTCTGTATCTTGTTCAAGAGTTTAACAGCAGCCTCTCACCTAGATAGAGCCCTAACTACTACTTTTAAAGTGTGGTGAGTATCTGGATACTCACGTTGTTGAAGCTGATTACCAAGGACACTTTAAAAGTAGTGGGTAGAGGCGTACTAGTGACTCCAGACCAAGGGGATCATGGGCTCAAATCCCAGGTGAGAGGATGCTACGGTACTGAATTTGTATTCAAACACAAGTGACAAACAGTTTATTCAGAAAATAATTAGTGTTATAGCTAAATTGTATTTTAAAAAAGTCTTAATAAAGTGAGATGCATTACATTCTGATAAACTGTGGTGCACTTTAAACATTCTATTTAAATGTAGTTAAAGTACACCATCTAATATGGTATTGTCATTCCAGAAAACTCATATCTAATAACCACGTTTATAGTGTGCAGGAACAGGAGCCCATGTAACACAGTGAGGACTGTGATAGCCCAGTACCTATGTACTGACGTAAACAGATTAAAATTCTGTTCTCATGATTGAACAACCTTGACAAACAGAAAGAGTACTTAATGGGATACATACAGTAAACTGTTTCCATATTTCCAACATTCCCAAACAGTAAATTTTCCCGAGAATGAACGAGTGTGGCAAGTTGCTGGAAAAAAAATAAATAATAATAATAACCCAGAAAAAAAAAACACTTCAAATTTGAAGTAAAAACTCTGAAGGCTTAAATTAATAGCATGAACACGTTTCAGTTCATTGAAACGCAAAGACTGCATGAGATGATCTAATACTTCAAAAAGAAAAAAATGAAAAGCTGTCTAATAATAATTACAGAAATAATTTTCCACACTAGTATAACTAATCTAAAACTGCAATTTTGCCAGCATGTGGAAATTTAAAAAATATGGTACTGAGTACATAAATGTGGCACTGAGATAGACTTCTCCACTCTACCATAAGCGGTTAGTTCCATGTTAAAAAGTAAAAAATAGACAAAACTCAATGTTCTGAATGTGGAGATTTCTTCAAGTGAGGGAAGAAGACTGCAAAGCTTCTTTTCTACTTATCAGCGTGGACATCACCTCTCAGCTCACATGCAGACTTAGCTCCCTCCTCTGACCTGTTCTTCCTCATGCCTAACACCTGGCCGAACAGTAGTCTAAAGAAAATCACAAATGCTGCAAAGGGTGTTCGACCCATACTGCTCATTTGATAGCTTAGTAGTTAAGTGAATTTAAAATGTTATCCATCCATCTGTTAAAACACCCCCAAGTTCTTTTATAAGAACTCCTGTTGGGAGAGCAGGGACGTTTATCATCTGGAAATGTTAGTCTTACTCATACAATAGTCTTCTACAGGGCTGAATGATTTGAGAAAGGGAAATCTCTTGTTTGTCTGGCCGATCACACACACACACACACACCCACACACCCAAGCCAGTAAAACAAGCCAGTTTTAAACCATCTTCAAAATTTGAAAAGAATTACTCTGTGGATATTTTCCCCACACAACAGAACAACAGAAGGGTATTGAAGAAAGCTCATTATATTTAGACATGGTTTTGTCCCAAAGATTTGTAAAGTTTCTTCAGTTGTAAAAAACAAAAACAAACCACAAATGGTTTATGCAATTTTTCTGTGATATATCATTAGATGAAATGACTCTCTCAACTGAAAAACAACCTTAATCTAAAACATGAAAAGCTGAAGGAAACCACGAATATCTATTTATGATTAAGCATTCGTTTAAAACACGGAATTGGTTGGGCATTTGAGAAAAAGGCAATTCAAAATTTTTATTTCAATAAACACTCCACATTTGACCTGGCTTGCTTTGATTCATTTTTTTTCTTGAAGGCTGTGAACTTTGATGATGTGAAATGGTACAAGTTGAAAATTGAATCACACCAATGGCCCTTCAGTGATCTCTCATGTTTATAATTAGTGTTTGTGTTTATGAAAACAACATGCAGGAATACTCAAGGACATTTGTTAATTAGTCAGATGGCTGGAAGACATCAGGCTACTTGATTTCTTTGCACCACAAAACTAGGCAGTATCTAAATGTTCACTGAAAACAATACTGTACCCTCCCACTAAAATTAGAGAGTAGGCAGGGCTTTGATAATGCTCGGGTAGCCTACAGGCATAATTGAGCTCTGTGTTTTTAAGCAATGTGTTCCACATATGATCTCCGGTCCTATAGAACTAGTACGTCCCAAGGACAAAAATACTTTGCTGTTAAACTCCCTGGTCCTTTCTCAAAATCTGGAGTTTCAAATTCATGCCCTTCAGCCTGTTAAGAAGACTAAAGGTGGCACTTCTTAAGCTGGTTGCTGCACCCAGCACATGTGCTGCCTTGTAATTATGGCACAGAAAATCACAAACTGCACATTCTTATATATCCCACAACATTATCCCACAGTTGACCTCCTAAGATTGTGCTGGGTTTTGCGCAGAAACTTCAAAGTTTCGTACGGGAAAGCCTGTGCTCACAGACTGCAGTCCCATCTGCTTTACACATTTATCACCACTGAAGCAGAGCAGACGTGCGCTTTTTTCAAGCGGCTGGCAATCCCAGGAAGCTCGGGGAGAAAAGAAACATTTGGCCTTACACACTGACTGCGAACCTCTGGTAACGTACTCTGTCCTTTTTTTCTCGTAACAAAAATCCTTAATTTTCATTTGCTAACTTTGATCTGGCTGCAAAAGAAGCTGTACGTCGGTGTCACATTTCAGGGTATTATTATCCTTTTCGTGAAATTTTGCTTCATGTGCTGTTTTTTCCATCTGCGTTTACTAAAGTGTGGTCACATTAAGTTCTTTGTATATGAAAAAAAGATAACCAAACAGAATGAGGCACTTCATAGAATATAAAGGCTGTGTAACAGCTCTTTTTTTTTTGCAGAAACTGAATCGGTTTTTGGATTTGGTAAACAAGCCAGCAGTGCACTGTTACTGGTGAAGTCTGATTCTCTGTTCGTAAGGCTTTTGTTTTGACAGATTTAGTCCCATGAGGAGGAACGATGGGGGGTGGGGGGGTGGGGGGACAGATTCAGCACACCTGGATTTCATCTCTCCAACCCCCAAAAACACTCGTGGAGAAAGGAAAATCCAACAAAGTCTAATGTTTCTCAGGTCACATAGGAACTGTTTTCGCTCCTTTGTCAGCATGATATTTTTTCCATTACATTTTTCCACTTGAACCTTGTCATCCTAAGGACCAGCTGAATTGAAATTCATGCCTTTCCTTTTTTTCCCCCCTTTCCTTTTAGAGTGTGTGCTTTTCTCAGTTTTCTTGGTTGCGGTCCCTGAGCCGATTTATCGTCAACCACAAAGTTCATACCCCCCCAGGCCCAGGAGTATTCCGTAGACATCAGTGAGGAGTCATCTAACTTGTCTGAACGTCCCTTCTCGCTGCTCTCAAAGATAAACATGTCAGAGTGATACTGTACTACTGTACTTGTGGAAGCATTTCAAGGCACCAAGCTGCTTCAACAATTAGATTGCATTTCAAGGTAATTTGGGATTATTTGCTGTTTAAGCTATATTGCTAACATTCTGCATGTCTTTTTATGGTGGGGGTGTGTTTGTGTGTGTGTGAGAGAGAGATCAAGTTCCACGAACATTTAATGTGTGACTGTAGGAACTGCATTAGATAAACTACAAGTTTTGGCACATAGCAGAAAATGCTTGCTTTGGCTGAGACCACAGAGAAACAATTCATGGCTCTGAAAGATGAAAAAGGCGTTTCCATGTATAGATTTTCTTCTGTTAAAGCTTATAATTAGCAATATTGTAATTAGCCCATTTAGAGCTTTCTGAGTCATTTTGATCTTGATTCTCCAATGCACAAAGGGGTTTCAAAGAGGACAGAAAGTTGGGGGTAAAATCATTTCTATGGTCAAGATAATTACAGTGCACATGACAGGTGTCAGGTTTGACACATTTTTTCGAGTACAACCATCGAAGAAACTGTAAGTAACTAAAGAAGGCCAAAAGGGAATGACATAATAATCGGAGAAAGGGCAAACCAAAGAGAAATAGAAATGGTCAGAACTGTCAAGATGCAAGTGTTTTTAAATTAGTCACTGTTCTGTTCTTCACAGCGCCTTTGCTACACAAATAGTAACAAAGTAGCTGAAAGGGCTGAAAAAATATTCTAGGAATGGAGTAAATTAATCACCATAATTACATCTCAGGGACAAACACAGCACAAAAAAGAACTGAAAATTACAGGCAAGGCTAATTTCGGCCATTATACTTTGCTACTTAATGTATCATAAAGGGAGAAGATCAGTATGAAACATTTTCCCCTGTCACCCATAAAACCTTTCATCACATGTACCACAAACTGAATAAGTAAACTAGGTAAGTAATGTGCTATGTAGTAGAAAAATCATTTAGGGGTACCTTCACATCAAAACATGGCTAGCTTTATTAACTACTGCAGTAAAAGAAAAAATACAAATATTTTTAATATTACATGAGTTACCAAGTTATGAGACATTTTGCTTTATATCAGGGAGAAGAAAAACATGCACCATGTTTCTGTTCATCATAAGCAGGGTGATGTATTTAGTGGAGTACTGCAGGAATGTGTACTAGGACCACTTGTGTTCTTAATTTATATCAATGACCTAGACTCAACAAAGAGTCAGTAAACTAGTCAAGTTTGCCGGTGATACCATACTAGGAGGATTAGCAAACACTGTAGAAGCAACAAATACATTTTAAAAGCATTTTGGTAAAACTCATGACTGTGTAAATACAGTACCTGACAGACAATGTATGATGAAAACAAGTGTAAGGTATTGCATGCAGGTACTCGGGAATAATTAGGCTTCTTGTGGCTACCTATGAAAAAGACTTTGATTTTTATGTTGACACATCATTAACATATTCTAGACAACACATAGAAGCAATTAATAAGGCAAAATGCTAGGATATTTAGTTAAAATTGTTAAAATTAATTAAAATAATGCGTCAATAAGACCGCATTTAGAATACTGTGTACAATTTTGGTCAAACATTATAGAAAAGATATTATTGTTCTGGAATCCATTCAGAGAAGTGTAATCAGATACATTCTGGGCCTTAAGGGACCTTTTGACACTGACAGACCAAAGGAACTGAACCTATTCAGACTTGATAGGGAAAGACAATGAGGGGACCTGATATAAGCATTTAAAGACCTCAAAGGCTTTCACAGAGTCCACCCAGCAGATCCCTTCAGAATGAACAATGTGACACAAGCCAGCACACTGGTGGAAGCATGTTTAAGAATCAGAAAAAGGAGGCACTTCTTTACGCGCAGTGTTGTGGGAGTTTGGAACAAGCTGCCCAGCCATGCTGTTTGCAGACAATGCCCTAGAAAACAAGGCCTCTTTCAAGAGACCTCTGGATGAGATCCTCCGATCCATTAACTAGTAACTACAGAACAGTCTAGGTGGCCTCCTCTCAATTGTACTGTAGCTTTTCTTATGTTCTTAAACTGACACAGCCTGCTCCATAATGGATGGGATATTATGTCGTTGTACGTACGGTGGGGAACCAATCTGTGCGCTCGGCACACTCCCAAGCCTTGAATCCTCGCCTTCCCGTTGTAAAACTCTCAGACAAAAGATTAGTGAGGTACCGAGGGGAGCTGGAACGCCTTTAATGCTCGAGGGGGTTATACAGTATCACTGTAAAAAGGCCTGATACATATGTTGTCATTTCTCTTACAATAGCTTAATATTATAATTAACTCTGCAGGAATTCTGTAAACAGTATGAATATGGGCAGACAGGGATATCCATTCAAACTCTCTTGCACACACAATATAATAGAACCCCAAACTAAGCATTACTGGTTGTTTAGGTTGCTCACAGTCTCATCTACCCTGTATTTATGACAAACCTTTGTAAAATGAATGCATGAGCCGTAATAGTGTGAAAGCAGTTTTCATGCCGTTTGGTAGAAATTCCAGGGTTGAAAGGTAATGTTACTGGGGACTATGATCAGGGTCATTCATTGTTCAGGCAAGTATTCTGAAGTATGACTGGAAATGTGAAGTGGACACTAAGACAGAGAAACAGCTTCAAATTACTTTTTAAAGAAGATTGCCAATTACATTTGTATTTGGTCAGTTTTCATGCATTCACTCTTCACTGCAAAAAGACAAAAACACTTCAGCTATGAAGAGGATGAGGTGTAAAGCTAGCTGGATGTATTAAAAATGTCGGCATATTAAAAACATATTAAGCTTCTTCTGCAACTGCTGAAACTCTTGGATTTCCATAAAAGTACGTACATGTGGGTACACCAGAGCAAGTGGAACTGGGGTGTTCAAGTGCTTCAGATAGCACACACCAGACAGAGTGAACTAAACTGTATCTGGTGTGACTAATCACACACAAATAAACAGAATGAAAGAAGGGTAAGCTAGTTAGTGAGGGTGCTGACTTTGACTTTATACGTGCAAAAAGGTGGAATGAGAATTCATAAGACTGTTCCATCTCCTGCAGAAATGTGTAGCGATTGGATGGAGAGCTAATTAATATTCGTTCCTGATTGCAACTGTTGCTTTTAACCCTTACCCTAATCTAAATGGTGATGATTCTAAGATGTATATACCGTGTATGACTTTATATTTATCTGTGTTATCTTTATCATTGCAGCCCTCAATGTTTTACAGTCATTTTTTTATTAAAAAAACATTTGAAAAGTGAAACAATCAGTTTTAGGACTATTTTTAGACACGAGTGCCTTCCAGTTACCATGTAAGTCACATGAAAAGGGATGTACTCTGATGGTGAACCAGAATACACTTAAATGATCAGTGTAGCTTTATTTAGTTCTTACTGGCACCATGAACAAGCCCCTTTCAAGTTGCAGAATCATCACACAGTATAAAAAACCAAGTTAGTACTTATACTCTTTTCCTCAATGAAGAAAAAATACAGCAGAGACAAAATGATACAATAAGAGAATACTGTGAGCCAAAACAACTAAATTACTTTAAAGAATGTGGTGTCTTTAAAATAAATTTTGTTATACAGACAAAGGAAGCATTTTAAGATAATGCAGTGAGCTGTCAAACTCTATTACAAGCCTGTAGGGGATTAAGATCAATGTAGAGACATGGTGGCAACACTTTACCTTGCTATTTAATTTCTGAGACTTGTTATTAAGGAACGTTTGGTAGTAACTGCGCATTAAGACAGGAGTATATCTAGGATTTTGCACAGAAGAAAACCCTTTTTCTCCTCGGTCTTTCTAGAGTTTGCAGGCTCTACGTAACATCACCCCCGATATGCAGCCTAAGACAATCCTTACACTGATGCTGCTCTTCATCCTGAGCCTCAGTCTTGCTCAAGAAGAAGGCAGCCCTCTGAGGAAAGGAAAAAAGAGGAGAGGAGGCCAACGACAAGGCAGGAACAAGCAACTAAGGCAGAGGAGCTCTGATGTGCCTATCCGGCTGGGAAATGTTCCTGTGACCAATGCAGATGACAGCTCACCAATATTCATTCAGTCTTACAAGAGCGTTGATGAATTTGAGTCAAACTACAACATCTTACCAGGTTAGTAAATGCATTTAACATGTGCAAAACCTTTGTATTTATTAGATATACATGTAGTTAATTTACTTCATTTCTGTTTTATTCTTGTTCAAATTTACTGAAAGAAAATGTACCAAAAATTATAAAAATATGACATTATAGAAATCTGAGATTTTTGCCAAGAAACCTTTTCAATTATTTTTCCCTAGGACAACAATGAACTAGTCTTCATTAGAGAAATGTAACATTCTTTCACTACATCATGAGGCCACACACTAAGATCTAAGCTTTCTCATGAAACTCTCATTACTGAAAAAATGTATTACAAAACGTAACCTTGTACATTTCTCACCTTTTATGCCTTAGCACATCCTACACCGTAATATACAAGTGAAAAATTTTAATGTGATTACATTTCTCAAATCACATTCTCCGACTATAATTTCAACAAAGTTTTTCAGCAGACAGGCATGCGATGGTGACAGTAATAAAGTAAAAGGAAATACACAAAGCTCAAAACTGTGGGGTAACATTTTAATGTGGAAGATGTGTCAAAGAAAATTCACAGTGGATTCATTCTTGCAGATAAGAGAAATATATAAATCAGTTTATAGGGAAGAGGTAGTTAGTCTATTAACGTTTACCATGTTGGATTTGTGGTAAGCAGCACGGGCTAGCACACCTACCACAGTCACCATGTTTGCAAACAGCCACAATTCAGCCACTAAAGCTTCTTCTCCGCTGACAAAGTAACATTACATAAGAATTGGCACCACATCTTAAGTGGAATTTAGGAAGTTAGTCAACTTTCCTGATACAGAAACATTTTTTTTTATAATGAGCAGTACAAGACGAACTGCTGCAAAGCTACTTTGGTTGTGTAACAAGATATGTTTCAGAATACTTTCATATAAATTCTTTTGGCTTCCTAAAACATAATTTAATCTACTTGTTGTAGAGTTATGGAAAATGCTGGTCTTATAAAAGGAAGGTTAAAGACAAACCAGAAAAGGCAAAAGAGTTTTTCACGCAAAAGCGCAGAGAACTGCTGCAGAATTCAGCTGACTCTGTGCTTGTTCATAGCCAGCACATAGTATAGTTAGTTAAAGGTTGCTTTATGAGTGCCATAATCATTAAGCCATCTTTTGTGGGATTTGTTTCTGCTGTTTACCACTATTATTACAACCATGTGTGCAGGCAGACGGGGAACTAAATACAAACTTTTTCTTCAGTTAATCAACACCTCCCTTGCTTTTCAGCAATAGTCTTGGCCATTAGGATAAAAAATAAAATGTCTCAACAAGAAAACGTTATGTACAAATCAAATGTTTTACTGACAGATCACAGTTAAAAACATTACTGTGTAAATGTTATTAGTTTTATATGAAAAAACAGTACAAAAAAACTACTGAAAGAAATATCTTGATTCCTTCTACTTGGTTACTACTATACATAGTAAATACATTAGTAAATCGCAGGGACAAGTTAAATCCAAACAGTGCTTTTGACATACAGTACAGTACTAGTGGGCAGATCTTTAAAAATAAGAATTGAAAGAGGGGTGCCTGGTATTGGCCTTGGTTTCACTCCAAGATAAAATCTCACTAATAGTTCAGAAGTTGTATTCTGTTTAAGTAACAGATACTCTACACTCTGAATAATCATGGAACCCATGTGCTATTAAAGCGCACACCTCCAACATTAAGATCAACAAGAATGTAGAAATTACTCAAAGAGTTTGTATCTAAAGCTCACTGTAAATACACATACTGCAGCTAATGTTTTAAGTAACAATGTAAGTGGTATCTTCTCAAATTGGTAATAGTTGTTAATTGAAGATTCACTACAAATGAGTAACTTTTAAGGAAAACTATTTGCTGAATAATTCCAGAGAATATTCTTTATCCTTACAATTAAGCATATTTGTGTGTATTTAAGATCTAAACCTGTGATTTCAAGAATATTACATAATGCTATACTAAAGCAATGTAAACCAAATTATTCGAAAGTAAGAATCTTTAGATAAATGCTTTAAAGTTGGAACAGCATGGCAGTACAGTGGTGAGCATTGCTGCTTCATAGTGTTGGGCCCTGGGTTCAAGTCCAGACTTGGGGTGCTATCTGCGTGATGTATATTCACCCCGAGTTCACATGGGTTTCCTCCCACAGTCCCAAAACATACTGGTAGGTTACACTGGCTTCCGGGAAAACTGGCCCTAGTGTGTTCGTGTCTGTATGTGTCCCTCGATGGACTGGGTGTCTGTCTAGGGCGTACCCTGCCTTGCGCCTGCTACTTGCTGTTGCTCCAGCTCCACCATGACACTGAATTGGAAGAAGCAGTTAGAAAATGAATGGATGGATGCTTGAAACGTTCATGAATAACAATTCATGATTATTACAAACTAGAGAAACTCTGGGCTTCTTAGTTTGTGCTACGTAACCTAATTATCATATGACACAGTTTTATATTTCCATTTCCGTCCTATTTTACTTAAAGGTGCATGTTTCTTTCCAGTCCCTTGCCTGATATAATTCTGTCAAGACCGTGTATCTTATTGTTGGCCGTCCTTCAGCCTGTACTCATTCCTGCTTTGACAAGTAACACGTTCTGTCTGGTTCTCCACAGGAAAGAAAGGACAATGCACGTACCATGGTATCACCATGTTTGAAAATGCGGTCTGGTCTCCCAAGCCCTGCATCACCTGCATGTGTTCAAAGGGGAACATTGCCTGTGATGAAGTGAAGTGCACGCCCCTCTCCTGCCCCATCACTGTGAAGCCCACAGGAGAATGCTGCCCCGTCTGCACTGACATCGGTATCTGCCCCTACCGCCTTCACCCCTCAACTGCTGAGCAGTTCAGACAGACTTCCATCCACCGCAGATAGGAAAAAACAGAAACTGGAAAAATTCGGAAAGCCTTTTCCCACTATCTCTAGCAATAAGTCAGTCGCACACTGTTTAGCAAAAGTGTTTGACAGAAATAGGAGTGGATGAAGTTTCTGGTTTCCTCATCATCTGTGATATCTTGTAGTCTGGACCTCATAGTTTAATTATTTTTAATGGCTGTGGTAAAAAATACTTAAGTGTACAAAACTTTAGCGTTCAAATGTTTAAGAGAAGACTACATCACCACCAGAGAATGTTATAAAGTCTATGTTACAGATGCCTGACACTGTTACAGTTTAACGCGCAATACCTTGCTAACCTTGCTGAGTTTAATCCTTAGAGATCACAATTTAAATTAAATTCAAATTTTCCTGCTACAAAAGGAATTTTTAATTTTGAGAAGTAGTTGACTTGACCAATCTTTGGTTAATCCATATACTGTAAAGCCTTATTAGCCTGTAAGAGAATGCATTCTTATACTGTACTGTCAGGACCTGAATCAAAGATTTTCAGCTCTTGATCTAGACAAGATTCTCTCCTGGGTGAAAGCATTTCTGAAGTAAAAGCACTTACACTGCCTGATAAACAATGTTACATCTCATTACAGCATAAAACAAGAATTGTTTTCACCCAGATCTTAATATAAAAAATGTGTACATGAAATTAAAAACACCCTTAGGAAGGCATGATATATTAAGCTTTTGGGAACATCAAACGTAAATATGTTTTTCATGTTCCTGGAGCATGCTTTATGCTTAAGACTAAAACTATCTGCTTCAATGAAAATATCTACTTCCACATTTCTCCTGTTCTTTCACATGTACATCTACCTATGGAGAAAACACCATGAAGATAACCATGCTAATGGATCAAGAATAATGGGACACTGTAGTATCCCACTGTTTTCCTCTAGGTTACGTTTACCACAGGCTTGTAAAATGACCTGGCTGCGACATTTTCAAAGCACAAACTATAAAAGATTCTCTGGACTTGTCATTACATTCCTCTCCTATATCCAAAAGTAGATCTCATGCAAGCCTGTGATTTATTTAAAAATAAAAATCAGATTTCTTCATACGATACAAGGACATTCCCCATAAATCAAACACAAGACCCACTCCACAGGTTACATCATCTGCAACATGTGGAAAACTGCAAAGGTACACCTCTTAGTACCACATCCTGCTCCATACAGCTTCTGCTTATTGTTCTGGCTGGCTTAAAGACCCTATTCTAGTGTTAGCTTCAGATTAAAAAAAAGGAGCAGTTTTTTAGACCTAGAAGTGGTTGCGACTTCAGCTGATTTTGGCTGCAGCTGTCGGGTTTGAACTCCAGTTCCTTGCTGGAGTTTCCTAAAACTACATGTAATTACCATCTTGTAATGGTAAGCTGTTAATCTACATTGTAGTCCTCCAGAACATTTGAAGTTAGTGTTTCAAGCTTTTCAATTCTGACTGCGCTTCACAGAAAATACCTGCATCGCATGCTTCCTGCACTGATTCATTTACTGAGTCCCTAATTCGCTAACCCTTCATCCACCCATCCATCATCAGAAAGAGGTTCACTCCTGCTAGTGGTTATGACAACCATGATTCTACCCTAGAAGCATACGGCACGCCCATTTCAACTAACCAGTCTATCTTTGGAAAGTGGGTGTACAGTACGGTGGGATATTTAATAACATTGCCCTACTAACACTATCTGACATCTCAGATTACCAAAGACTCTCATTCAACCCAAGATTTTAGTCTCACTTGTTTCAGCTTCAGCTAGTTGGCTCATATAGTCTGTATAAGCTGCGGAACTGGTATTAAGCAAACAGCTTCTGCAGGATTTTAAAGATAATAAGACTATTATACAGAACGTTTTAAGTATTGTCTTAACATTTTTGGGGAAAAAAGCATTTTAAATGAGCACATTTTTCCATTTACCAATTTAATTTTTTGAAAAACTGATTATCTGTCTAATAGACATCCTTATTTCCCCTTTTTTTAGAAGGAAGTCCCAATAACAGAAAGTTAAAGATAGTTAAAAATATTTTATCTTGTAAAGTCTAGGAAAGGCAAGGCACACAAAGAGGTGCTTTGGTCCAAAGCACCAAAAACCCTTAGACAATTATTGCTTAATTCCCCATTTTAGATTCATTGTGTGTGAATCTGTAGACAACAGCTGTGCTCAAGCTTCCATTAGTGCTACACAGCTAAAAGAGCACTAATAGATTATTTTTTAAGAACCAAAGGATATCTATATAAGAAGCAGTGGAATTGATAGCCCATCATCAATGATATTGCTGACTGTAGCCCTTTCTCCAAAAGCACAGCATCATGTTTCCTAAAGCTGTAATTTAAGATCAGTACTGCTCTATCAGTACTGTACAAATAATATAATATAGATAGAAAAGAAAATTGAAAAGGTATACAATATATAATTTAGTAATACTATCTGCTGATGTTTAGGGAAGATTTGAATACAATCCCACCCTTGAGAGCATCATCAAACTAACTAATTTATCTGCACATTAACCTCTTGTTGTTTTCCTGTGGTAAAGGTGTGTATTTAACTCAGTTGCAACCAAAGCACTGTTTCCTTTAAGGCACTGTTACGGAAGAACTAAGCTGGGTTACAATTTGCTGAACTCAAAAGTAAAACGGTGTAAGCTGACGTCTTCAGAATTTGCAGAAATTTCCAAACACAAATCGTTTGGGATTTTTTTTTCATTATCCATGTATCATCTTGGATAACAAACAGTGGGAATCAACTGTTTCCCAATCTAAAGCCCTCGTTTGCTTAAAGGGAACACTGCTACTGTCTGGTTTTTGTCTCTCACTGTGTGGGCCACCTCTCTCATTGTCTTTGTCTCTCCCTTGGTCCCCATGTGTTCCATCTCATCCTCTCACACCTCATTCTCCATCACGGTCACCCTAACATTCTGTGTTGAACGCTGCCACAGTCCCTGACACCCCTGAACTTTCTGGCGATTCCTCAGAACCCAATGACCCTAGCGAACTGGGGCTGGGGCCACCTCACGCCCACGCCGACCTCGAGGAGCGGCGCAGGGAGGAGGAAGAGGAGCAGCTGAAGGAGGAGGAAGAGGCCCGACAGGAGGAGGAGGAGCGTCTGCGCAAGAAGGACGAGGAGCGGAAGAAGAGGAGGAAGCAGAAGAAGCTGGAGGAGGAGAGGCAGCGGCAGCTCTTCGAGGAGCGGCGCCGCGAGGAAGAGGAGCTGCGGGAGAAGGTGGAAGAGGAGGAGGGGGAGAGGCGCAGAGAGAGGCAGGAGGAAGAGCAGCAGCGGCGGCGGCAGGAGGAAGAGGACAGGCGGAATCGAGAGCAGGCGGAGGAGAGGGAAAGGCATCGGAGGCTTCAGGAGGAGAGGAGGCAGGAGGAGGAGAGGAGGAGGAGGATCGAGGAAGATTGGAGGGAGCTGGAAGAAGACAGGGAGGACTCCCGAGAGGAAGAGGAGTATGACGAAGACGATTTAAGAGGGGACGTCTTCAGAATGCCGCCCCGCGTTCCTAAGCCGGAGGGCGTCCCACCCCTTCGACCTCCAGCCCCAGAGAACATCCCTCCTTACAGTACTCTGCCAGTGGGCTGCATGATCTCTGATGTGACACTGAGCTGCAACAACGCCAAGCTCACTGGCATACCACCGCTGTCTGTCAGGGGCCTTAAGAGCCTGAATCTCGAAGGTAAGGCAACATAGAAACCCTTTCTCTTAGAAATGCATGAAAACACTGGAAAATTCACTACATTCCCTTGAAATGTACTTGTAATCACTACGAACAATGCACAATTTCTTACCTAAAATTCAAAACCCTGCACACAGGGTTTACAGCATTATTTCTGAAAAGTCAAGCTTATTAATATACTGATCTTTCAGAAATCTGCACATTATAAGCATTCAATAATCCCCCAAACATGTACAACACAGAGGACTCGTTTTTTTTTTATTTTAAGATAAAAGAAAAAGTAGTCATAAAGATGTATCCAAAGTACAGAAATCCAAATGGAAAATTACATCTTGAAAAAATTAAAAGAAACAATGACAGTGATAATAAGAAGTAGGAAAATACATATAAATACATGAAATAGTAGGAAGCATACTGTATATCATAAATATATTTCCACCCGTTATTTATTCCTTAGCACTGACATCGATGTACTTCTCTTCAAACGTGCCCCTAACCTGAAAGATCTAAAAATCAGTTTATGAAAGAAACATGGAGTTACTGTATGTCGTCATTGAAAGGTCTAGCATGTCTTTTGACTGTAATCCTATATAAAAAGTCCCATCACGTCTACCACCGAGAGCAAATCCAACGGAAAGTACATGAGTTTAAAACTACCATGTAATGCTTCTATTATACAACGAAGGTGTTTGGACTGGAAACATTTTTCTGTGCACATAATTTCCATGGAAAAGTATGCATAACTACAGTAGTCATAATAAGTGTGTTACCAATGTATTTTAATTTAGAAAATCAGGCAGTTAAATGCATCCTGACCGCAGGACAGAATTCATAAAACATATTTTATTCCTAAGTACAGTTCCACATTCACATTACAGAATGGTTGTTGGTCTAGTGTTAAGCATTTTTCCCAACCCCACCCCCACCTGTGAAAATTCTAGGTCCCATGTCCTAAATTGCATTTTAAATATTGTCACTCTTCAATTTAGAGTCTTAAATCACAAGGACAAAAGCAAGTAAACAGAACAACCACTAAACAGATTTTAAGTTTTCTTTTGTCTCAATTTTGTTTTGCGCAAAATGAAAAGATTGTAATTACACAACAATAATACCGGGATCGCAGTTCGACACAATGAGTGAACAGTGGGTCTCACAAGAAGATCAGCAAGAAACAAATGTAAGAAAGAAACAAAAATCAGTTTTTAAAGCAAAAAGGTCTCTGCACAAGCTGAGGCACTTCTTGATACTCCACAATGTAACTTCGCAGTTCACCTCTCGGTAAGAATAATATCTACAAGTGAACGCAATCATGTGAGATTTTGAGGGCTCAATCTCTACCCTGCCTTTCAACATTGATTTATTTGGCTGCAGTACAACCTGCCCACAAAAGATGTCCAACTTTAAAGCTAACAGTGATCAGTTAACATCACAGAGCAGTCTGGGGCTCACTGGTGTGGTCACAACAGTTAGATCACAGAGTATACAGAGTATTCCCAGTATACACTCTAGGTAAGTAAGTGTCAGTGAGTCAGGACACACTGGTTAACCAGTGGGTGAGAAGACAGGACAGAACAGTGACAGTGACAAAACAGCTTTGTTGTCAGCTAAATACAGACTCATAATAAAACTGAGCAGTCATGACTTTATACATTGTTAGGGCATTACATCCTCTTTAAATCAATACCAAACCATTTTTTTTTTTAATTGCAGTATGTCTTATGTAACAGAGTGTAGAGGACATCCAGCCATTTCTATAAAGTTTAAATATTTTTACTTGTAAATTACAGCTTCCGTAATCTATGCTTTTTGAACGTCTTATAATTTTGAAGCTTGGTTTCAGAGGATCTTAATAAGAAAATACCCATGTCCATGCCAGAGCACTGACAAATGGCTTGCAGCACAAACCACATTACTGGTACCTCGATGACTGCAACCTCCACCCCTCTGACTGCTGTGGGACTCCATGGGAGGGGAACATGTATCGGAAATAACCACTGCCTGCAAGAGTCAAAGGGCTGGAGTCCAGAGTCAGAGAAGCACATGGGCTTGTGCTGTCATTTACTAGAATAGCAGTGGGCCAAGACCTCTTAATTTTTTACAGATTTACTTAATTGGTCAAAAATGTTTGTTCTGCAGATTTCAAATCTGCATATCACTGAACATGTGAAGGGTCCACATCAGCACAATACAAATGTGGAGTAACAAGAAAACATTGCCAGTTTGAGTTTTTGTCATACAATAATTCTAAAAACATTGTAATCTTAATTTTCATAATCTACTGTATTCTACCGTATGGCATTACTTTACCTTCTGAATAACTAGCTTGAATGGGTCTTATCTTTTGTCTGCAGGGAATGCTATCACTACGATTCCAGCAGAGGCATTTAATGGAATTCCCAACTTGGAATGGATTGATCTTAGCAAAAACAAAATCACAACTGCTGGCATTCATCCCCAAGCTTTTAAAGTAAGGAATGCAGGGTACTGTCTGCTTCTGTACATGTTGACTTATTAGGTACAAAAAAAAGTCTTAAAAGTAATAGCCATTAATAGCACTGAGTTAATAGAAAACATGCACACTTCCACGAAAAAAAAAAATAACTAGATCAAGAAAGCCTGCATTCTTAGTCTGAAGTTCTGAAGTGCCAGAAAGGATTTTTTCAACTACTCTAAATAAATGTTACACACTACTGTTTCCAAATGAAGTGATTTAGTCTCAATTTAACTGTTAAGGTGCCTCAATCAGTTTCAGCAGTATTTGTTATCTAATATTCCTTTGCAGCCTCCGCATGTTGACACAGCAACCAACTGGAACTTGTTTTTCAATAGCTGCATAAAATATTATTATACATGCATACTAATATATTTTTTCCCGTAAACCCTTTTGTTGTAAGAATATATATTATCTTAACTGCATGAACAGGAGATGCACATTTGAGGTTTGTTGTTGTATCCTAAAATAAGGGAGGGATCTAAACCTACCTTTAAATTGTATTCTTATCTCTTTGCAAACGTTTTTGAGAGGCAAGAGCAGTCTACTTAAATAAAAGAAATATTGGCTTTTTTTCTACAGAAGGGTTGGCAATGGAGAAAAAACTAAGAATGGGCCAAGCCAACTCTCAGCAGTCCTGCTCTTCTATGTTTGAAATTTTACTCCAAAATTGCTTTTATGTTCCTCATAAATAGAGAGTAATCTTTTTTCGAACTTGTCTGAAGACCACACTGATGCGTTTGTCACATTCCGTATTTTACTTCTTGGCTCCTACCATTTTATGACACAACCCATTCATTGGAAAATGAATTTCGTTAACTTAATTTAATTGGACCGAGTTGACAAGTATCTGAAAGAACAGAATAGCACAAAATAACAAAGCTCAAATTTAGAAGTTACTTATTACTTGGTCAAATTTCCAGAAACTGCATGTGTGTGCTCTCTTAAAATAAGGAAAACTTCAAATGGAAGTTAAAAAGACTATATTAAACAGAAGGCATTCACATGACTGTGACATGATTTTGCCAGATATTTTCAGACATAATTCTTTCTTTGAAAACTCTGGAGTCGAGGCGTGGTGAGTCCTTTTGTTTTCATCAGCATTCAGAATCTGTCTGGAATGAAGTTATGCAACAAAACTTGTGCATTTTTACAAAACGTCTTTCTGTTTTAAACGTCTAAGCCCAAAACCTGTGGAAATGTAAAAAAAAACAACAAAATAAATTTAATGAGAATCATTCAACTAAACATCAATACTATTTAAAAAATGTTCAGCTTTTATTTTCAGTTCATTTCTTGATAGACCACATTTTAAAATGAAACAGAGAATTCTCTTGTGTTGTGAAGACACATTTTATGAATTATCCTATAGGCTCAGCTTAAAAAAAAGATAAGTTTTGTGTTTTTGAGAGCATATTATGAACTCTCTTTTATGTCCTCTAAATGTTTCCATATCTACAACAAGGATGAACAAATCCAGCTTTTGAAGGCAGGGCCTCTGCAGGGTTCACAGGTATTTTCAATTGGTAAATGACTGAGACTGAAAAAGATGGGTGATTAATAACAGAATTTAAAATGAAAACCATGAGAAATGGAGCTTGTCAAACATGAAATCAAAGCACTAAGGTTACCAGTTACTATGACGCAAAAAATCTGTTTCATATAGGACTGTGGACCTGCTTTATTTAACAGTATTTTTTAATAAAATGTTTTTTTCTATATTGTTTTTTTGAAAAAGAACCTAAAAAATTTAAAGCGCCTCAACATGGATGGAAACCTTCTTGATCAAATCCCCTCTGATCTTCCGTCCACTTTGGAAGAGTTCAAAATCAACGAGAACAACCTTCAAAGCATGGATGAAGACAGTCTTCAAGGTAATTTCCAGAGAAACACGGTCATTGCATAACTGAATTATTTAGTAGAGCTTTTACATTGTAAAGATAAAGCAATAAAATTCCATAAAAAAAGAATTTCAGCTGCTAATTAGGAATTACATCAATCAATATAAAAATTCTTCAAACGTGGACAGCAGATGAAAAATGTATTTATAATTAAAGGATTTAGACTTTTAAATAAAGTACATACTGTATATGAGACTTTGTCATTACTTGTAAATCAAGGGCCCCCCTTCATTAAATGCTTCTTTACTTTCCTGCTAATAGAATAAACATTCATTTTCTGACAGATCTAAGCAACTTGATCACCTTGGAGCTGGAAGGAAATATGCTTAGTGAAGGAAACGTCAGTCCCTTGGCTTTCAAACCTCTAAAACGACTCTCTTACTTGAGGCTTGGTAGGAACCATTTCCGTACGGTTCCTCAGGGCCTCCCTGCATCTCTAGAGGTGAGATTTGCCAAAGATAACACGTCTTTTGACTGACGAGCCGAAGACGAAAGATTCCGCTGAACGGCTATCAATAAACCAGAGTTGTCACTGAATAGAAACTAAACTGAAAAAAATATCTAAGATAAAGCAAAAGGGGGTTAAAATAACACTCCAGAGTCCATTCAAAAAGAGGTATTATATCTGGACCCTACACAAAGACATTTATTTAAAATGCTGAAGAAAATAAGAATGAAGTTGTTGCTGTTTTTTATTGGCAATGAAACTTACCTGTGGGAAGCAACTCAAACCCTAGTGTGCCTTGGTAATAATTATGGTTGACCACACTGCTTCCAACACACAGTGCTTTAAAATACACCATATGACAGAGTGCTGGATTTTTGTTTGGGAACAAATGCTCTAACATGTGAATGTTTTTTAGGAACTTTACATTGAAAACAATCTAATTGAAGAAATATCGGAAACAGCTTTCAATCACACCAAAAGCCTTAATATTGTTGTGTTAAGACACAACAAAATAGACGAGTCAAGGATAGCACGTCTTGCCTGGATTAACCATGAGTAAGTACCTCTGGCTTCAAAACATTTTTTCTTATTCTTCATAACACTCCAACAAAACTGCCCTTTCTTGTTCCATGATATAAACCACAGTTTTCAACTTGAATGGAGTTTTGAGGTAAATGTGATTTGGCCCCTGTAGTGACAGAGATTTTGCAGAGCTCTCTTTTATTTTTTGGTGTGTTAATTCATACAATGTGCTTCTTCCATCCAGTACTTTAAAATGTCTACATTCTTTTGTAAGATTGTTTTTTGCCAAGCTTAAACTTCAAAAAACCTTAGTATGAGCTTTATCCACTGGGAAATATACTGTCTTCTTTAAGTTTAAAGACTTTCATATTTGATGGATTTTTAAGTTTTGACTTTTTTTTTCCCATTTATAATACACAAAAATCAAGATCTTTAACAGTATTACTATACAGTTTGACTTACAGTATATCAAAAGTATATTAACTGCTGATACTCTAATGTCCCATTTTCTCTTTTCTAAAAAGGAACCTGGAATCCATAGACCTGTCCCATAACAAGCTTTACCATGTTCCATCGTTCCTCCCAAAGTCTCTGATACACCTGGTTCTGGTGGGCAATCAGATTGAGAGAATTCCTGGATATGTGTTTGCTCACATGAAGCCTGGTCTTGAGTACTTATATCTCTCTTTCAACAAGCTTGATAACGAAGGGATTGACCCAGTGTCCTTTTTCGGGGCCTACCACTCACTGGTAGAACTGTTTTTGGATCACAATCAGATGACAGCGGTGCCACCCGGAATAAATGAGATGAGATCGCTGCTTTCTCTAAGGCTGAATGACAACAAAATAAGGTAAAAGCGACAGTTTTGCAACCTTGCATGAGGTCCAAAAGAAAACGGGAAACAAGTCAGATATTTTTAGAATACCTTTCTCTCAATATGCAGAAAAAATTGCTTTGCCTTACAAAAACATTTTTTTGGCCCAAGCAAGAGCTTCAAAGTCTATATTTGTGTTCAGGCATTTATAAAAGAATCCTGATGTGACTGTGGATGGGATTCTCAAGCAGCAAATACATGCCAGGCCAGGGTACAGAAAAACAATATTAAAAGAATAACAAATACGTTATAAAATGTTATCAAAAGAATACGTTTACATTAAGTAAATTTTTATAGATTACAAAGAAAAGGGAAGAGATTTTTTAATTACGAGGTCTGTAGTCTTGTCTCTAATGATGAAACTGTGAAATTTGATCTTTCTTAAATTCTACAGGCATTTTGAACCTGAAGCCATCTGTGACCCTCTGAACATCGAAGACTTGAATATAGTGACTCTGCGCATGGACAACAATCTTATTGACACCAGAAACATTTCACCTACTGCTTTTTCTTGCATCAGGTCTTATTCCAGTGTTGTTCTGAAACCGCAGAAGATTAAGTAACACGTTCTTATAGTGTTATGATAGTACAGTCTAAAGAAGGCAAAAGAAGTTCAACTGATTTACCAGACAACTACAACTTGCATCAAAAACTAAGAAACACAGATGGTAATCGGTTCATTCCTGTCTTGCTTTCTGGATATCAAGTAGTGCTCTGGGTCCACTGGTGATTTTTTTTTGAAGCAATTGTGAATTACACAATATTATCAAGAAGAAATTAAGTAGGCTTTTTTTTTACTGAAAGTGGCAGTAGTACAGGTCATAACAGCTGCTGATAGTTGACTCTCAATACAACCTTTCATTGTCATTGTCCTGAAAGCAGAGATAGCTTAGTGTCCAAAAGTCATAATAATACAACCCCAAAGAAGAAGTGGTTTTGATTAATTTATTAAAAAAAAGATACTGTGGCTCGAAGAAGTAATGGATTAGGTTACCACCTATATATTAAAGCTCCAAATGCTTAATGATGCAGAAATTCCACAATAAGAAAAACATTTTAGGAATCAAATGTCTGATGTAACTTTAACTCTGAAATCTGAAGGACATTTCTGAAAATCAAATGAAAGAGGATAACAGAAGTGTTTAGTCAAAATCAACAAATCCCAGATAAACATAAAGAAATGTGTGTTGAAAAAATAAATTTAAAAACACACCTATAGATATGTTTTACTGTATTAAACATAGTTACATGGTGTTTACTTCAAAAGGAACTATGTGCCAATATTAGAGAGAAGTGTATGAAAAAAAATCAGCAGAACAGTTCACTGCGAAGAAGATGTCAATGTTCATTATAATACAAAGTGTTACTATAAATGGAAACAATAATGACAGAATATGAAATGCATTCACATGGTGTTCATGAAAGCAAAACCAGCTATGAAATATGAAATATACATGAAATTGCTGCGGCCATTCTACAAATTTAGACATTCTAAAAAATGTCTAATTGTGTTTTATGTATATTACTTCTGTCAAGGTATAACTATACCACAATGATGAGTGCTAACAATGTCAAGTTTTCTATGGTCACTTTCCTTGACTCAATTTATGTGAAAAGTGTTATTAAAAGTTTCATTGACAGTTCTGTTTCCAACATTGTGGAGCCATCATAGTAATGTATTTTGCACCTTTCCTATAATTTATATCTGTACTGTACATACAGTACATATATATTAGTAGTAACAATAATTAAATAAGGAAGGAAGCACCCAAACAACAAGAGGACATGATTAGACTTTGCCAACATGTATAGTAATATGCCCCACAGTCTGTTGCCATTAAGGTCTATTCACTCATTTGGCTCAAAATTATTCATGCAAATTATTTTCTCAGATGGAAAATTTAAGATTGCATGCTCTGTTCTAACCCCTAAAAATGTCTAGGCTGTAAGACAACATTTCGGAGATTGTAGACATAATAGAGCTGTTGGTCCAACATATATTTAGATCAAACATATGACATCCTGGGTGAAACAGGATATGTTGGAGTTGAATGTTATCCCAGTCAGCTGGAAAGTTGTGAAGGAGTTTCTTTATGCAGTGAGATTAGAAGCTTCTGAATAACCATTCCACTCACCTGATCCAAACCCAACAGTGGCTAAAAGCCAAACACACAGAAAAAAACAAACAAGGATCGAAAAACCTTATTGAGAAAGTGTCGGATAGTGTTTTCTGCCCTCCTCAGTACAGGACGTACAATGAGATAATGTGAAATAAAGACCTGTAATAAAACTCTAAACATGCCAGTGAACCATTTAATATATCTGAAATCCTCCTTTCATAACCTGTTTTTTTTATCAGAATTGAAAAAAATGATGATTATACAATTAGATTTTAAAATAAAACTGGGTGCAATCCACTTTCACGTTTCTTGAAACTGTAGCTCACTCTCACCAGCAAACATTATTTTATTAAACTTCACAGAAATACACTATTACTTTTATCATTGCTTTTTATTAAAGCCATGTTGGTTTTTGGTGTTACAGGCTATTTTATTATGTTCTTATCGCTAATATGTAAACTTATGTGTATTTGTTTTTATCACCTGTCCTATGCTTGTCCTAGGGTTCTAAAATTATAGGGGGTGAGGGTCAATTTTTAATATAAAATGTCTAATTAATTTGCACATTTTAAAAACTATATTAAAAATCATTTATGACTTTAATCAAAGTTTGTCTCATTTAAGCCATGTATTTTGACAGGATGCCATTCAAATAGACTCCACACTAGAATGAAAAATCTTCCAACACTAAGGTAATGGGTTTTTAGGGCATTTCTGTGTACAGAGTAGTTCTGGAACAGTAGATGTGTAGAGATCAAATCTATGACAATTATAGTATTTATTATTTTACTTTAAAACAATTAATTTTATTTTAATTTCCAAGCAAATGGGGCTTGACCATACCTTGACCAGAGAGAAAAATGTAACAGTAGCTCTCCTGTCAACAGAAGGCTTGAAGCTCCATTGGTCCACATACTGTACAGCGCATTGTAATGTACTTACAGCATTCAATGTACCATGCTATGACATTTTTAATGATTTCCTCAAATTCCACAAGACTATATTTCACCCTCACCAAAAAACTGCAGATTGCTACCAAGGAATGCCTTTGAGGTAACACTGAAAGACCACAAGCACCAACTTCTTATTGTAAAGATGAAGCCTTTTACCATAGCATAAAGCAGATGGTTTCCAAGTTTAAGGTTGGCTCACAAAACATAAATTTAAGGTCAGTCATATGACTACAAATAACGAAGGAGGAATGAAAATTAAACCAAAATTATGGTTGAGTCATCACAGATTTTTCCTACATCATAAAATGTAATGTTAACATTTACTGTTTTCTACATAAAACCTTTCTCAAATTACTGTAGATTGATAATCTTGATGGCTATGACTATAGGATATCTGTATTTTGTTTACTGCAGACTTGACCTGCTGCTGAACGGTTGACTGTTGATCTTAAGATTTTTCCTAAAATTCCAATATTTGGTTTTCTATGGTCTAGAAAACCACTTTCAGCTGAAATAACCATGATACTCATTTAAAGAAGTATTGTGAGCTAAGAAAAAAAAGATCAAATGAAATTCACACTGTCATCCTCAAAAGTGAAATAAATTATTTGGGTGGAAACATAATATATCCCCCCTACTAAAGAAGATAAACACGGCAGCTAGTTTCAGTATTAGACTTTTAAAAAATATTTTCCAGACATAGCAAGATATTATAAAGTTAATACGGGACTCTGAAATGAACGTCCAGCGCACATTTATTGGTTCAAGGTATGTTTCTTTTAAGTCAGCTCCAAAAATAATCTTAAGAAAGTGTTTGAAACACGCTGGCAAAAATCACATGTAGTATGCAGAAAATTTAATGTCCTGAGAATTAATCAAAGTTCTAAACATTTGACTTTAGACAGACTAAATAAGAAACAAAGTCAGAGGCACGCATGAAAGAAAATAGTTTGTTTATACAAGACAAGCTAACTTATGGAAAGCGGGGACATGCATTTATAGAGAATAGGAGGCACTTCTTAACACAAAGGGTTGGAGTCTGGCACAACCTGATGTGTAGTCAAAGCTGACAAAATCTTTCCTCTCAAAAGCAGCTAAATGAATTTTTTGTATCAATTAACTACTCCAAACCTAACAAGCTGAATTAGTCTAATAGCCTTTTATTTTCAAACCATATGTTCTTACATTCTTTAGCAGTACCTGTGAAAACATCATTAATAGTGCCATGCAGTATTGTGCATTTTAACATTAAGTACCAAAGGAATAAAAAATCACAGTTTTGTTTCATATTACAGCCTATATAGTAGCTCTTTTACAAAAAGGCATTTGGACAACAAAGGAAATTAGAATCCTGTTCTTGTGATTTATTAAGTTTGGAAAAGGAAATGCAGATTAAAGAAACAATGGATGTAAATTTCAGTTTTGTGATCTTCAGTCGTACAACAACATGGAAAATTAATACAGAACTGAGGTGATATTTAGCTAATCTGAGAAGCAACAGCAGACAAACAAAAACAATGCAGCTAAGAACTACCCCCATGAAAATTACTCCAAAATGTTGAGACAGTTTTACCAGTATAATACCTGTGAGCTGCAGTAGATCTAACAAGCAAATAGAAGGAAGTTGTACTGCTGCAGGCAGAGCATCCTAAACAAAACGTCTGCCACAATAAAAAAAATCAAACCACATGGAAGAAGACTATTTTTCAAAATGAAGGAGGAAAAACAGAACTTCCCATGAATTCCATATCAATCTGCCATGGAATCATTTAAAGGTCATTACACAACAGTTTGCAATGTAAAATATCGATGTACATCAAATGTATAACTAGGATGCCTCCGTTATTTCCTGCAGCAAGAGCAACCTCCAACCTAGATTACTAAATAACTCCCATTCTCTCCATTCCTATTTTATACTTACTATACAGTAACAATATTGCTTACATTTTGGGATATCACTGAACGTTTCATTTCCAATACCAAGAAATGGTATTCTCTATCGTGACTGCAGGACATGAAGCAGCCCATATTTCGGAGCATTGCTTATTACACCTGCAAAGCAGAGGATAAAAAGGTATACACGTATTTCAACTTTGTTTTTTAATTTGCTTTGTTTAGATATTGTATCTACTCACTGTAGAGTCCAGCTTTTTACACAGAACACTCCATGTATTTAAAGGAAAATACTATGCCAGATGAATAAAATAACTTAAGAAAATGGTCTTCATTTCTGGAACGTACTGCATACCCAAACCTAATAATTTCTGGAACACTGACCTAGGCCATAATTACAGCGCAAAACTTTTTATTAAAACAATATTTCTTGCCTTAGCTAGTATCTCGCAGAATCAAATGTAAATGAATAGTCATAAAAATAACACCACATGATGGGAATTTGAGCTTGTTTGGTACACAGTCAAAGCATCCTCAGGACTACTGGTGCTAAATAATGACATACACATTTTTCCATTTTAGCAAGGAGTGCTTTAGTTGAAATGCCTATAGAACAAAAATGACAACAGAGTTACAGGTATGCTTATTGAGCATTATTACAATTGTGTTTACCTTTGGCAATGGCTTTTTAACACCTTGAAAATCCAGATGGCATAGCAATTATACCCATGGCACAAGCTCTTTCACTTAGCAAACTGTCGGATACTAAAAGCCCCCATCAGACTTACCAAGCTGGGCACCAACATTAGTTTTCCATGTGATGCTGAAACTATGGAAAACTTTCAGTGTAACTTTAGCTTAAGACAAGATCAAATGTTCTTGTCAGAATCAATCTCATACCACCTGAAACAGCTCTTGGCTAACATAACATACAGCATGAAGTCTTTCAAGCATACCAATTTAGTAAGCATTCCAATTTCACAGAAAAGAAACACATTAACATTTATTCAGAATGAAGTGCAGCTACTGTACATTTTGCAAATGGGAAGAAATAATGTTTGAATTCAAGCACACTTACTCTCACTTTATTAAAAACACTGAATAATGAACAGGATTTTGTGACAAAAGAAACTTTCTATTTCACAACTGTGTACACTAAGCGTATTGAAAGTAATTTAAATGTCTCTTAATGAAAAACAATATCAGCCATTGTTTTGTAGTGGATCAATCATTTTTTAATTACTTTGCTTTACCACATTTGCCCATTTACTTTAATTCAAATGCCAATATTTATCATACGATATACAGTAACATGTAAACAATGCTGCAGCACATACATTTGAAGCAGCTACTCCAAGATGGGTTTAGTTTAACATGTGTCCTTCGAGGCTCTAAAATTAATAGAACCTATTTTTAATAGAATCTGTAAATATCTTTCAATGTCATCTCTGTAATAGTATCTGAGGAGCCGGGGGAGGAAATCCTATACAAGATAAAATAAACCTTTAAGACATCTAGTGACACACCACACAGCTATTTCCACCACTGATCAAAATGCAAATGATTATCAAGTCACTGGAGCTAATGTCGAACAAGGTAGGTTATAGATTTTCTCAGAGAAAGGCACATGAATGAAACGAAGAAAAGGATTTCATCGAGGACAGTTTTGATGGATTCAACATAATGAAAGAAAGATTTGAAAATAATCATTTCTCAACAGATTAAGTTTAAATGGGTTTTATTGTCTGGAAATAAAAATGCTTGCTGTGATTCATCACGCAGGATAGAAAAAACTAGTTCTGGGACTGAGAAGGGTGTTTCACAGCTGTAGATGTATAGTTCAAGTCTGAACAGCAGGAGTGACTAAAGTTCAGATGAACTGCGTTTTCCTAGCCTGACACTAACATACTCAAAGAACTGTTAAATAGATTAACAGTTTAGTGAGCATCGCTTACAGCAGTGACAAACATCAGTCAGCATGAAAAATGTACTGTTCTGTAATAGCAGCCGTGAAATGCAGTGATTAGTGTCTAAAAATGTACTCGGCATGCAATAAAGCTATTTGAAAACAGGTAAGTCTAATGAGAGGAAATTGCACATGGGGAGATGCTATTGGATGTGCTGGATAAAATTAAATCACCATGCATGTGATTTTTTTTAATGGTTTTATGCAGCTGATTATTGTTAAATACAAAAATATGTATTTTCTTGCTGTACAGCTCCAGTAGTCAAGTCAGCCTAATTTTCTAAAATGTTTGAAGTTGTGCTGGAAAGGATTTAAAAGATCTTAATCTGTTGGTCTTTTTTAAAAAAACAACAACTTAGTGGCATTATGTAACTCCATTTCTAAACCTCTCTTTAAAATTGTGCTCACATCCAGGTAGAACCTTTAGAAATGGCAGAAAGGCACTGATTTATCACACTGTGTGAGCCTTTAGATCATGTAAAACCTCAGGAGGCGTTATCCAAGATATAAGCTAACAACTCTGGCCTTGGTTCAAGAAATGATGAAAAACATATGACCGGTAACAAAGCGTCTTCAATATTTGTGTTGAATACTAAGATGTGATGATCTGTGAGAGCTCTTTATTTAAGCATAACTCCCAGTGCCAGGAGGAGCTTTTTCTTTCATACTGGGATTTTGTTTTCATGTGTTACCTTTTTTGAAAAAAAAAAACACAACATCAACTTTAATCCTGATTGGACCTATTATGAAGTAAATCTGGGTTTTCATATTTCTCCCTCAAGATTTTTTTGGAATTACTGGGCAAAAACAAGGATTGATCAGAATTTTCTAAGGTATGTTATTTTGTCTATTTCTGTAAGAGAGGAATAATTTAACAGGTGATGTGCATTTAGCAATGTAATACAAAGTTTTTAACCCCAAACTGGCTAGTTTTAACAATCAATATCATCATTAAATGCACAGGTAACAGCTTGAATGTCTTGCATTTCTAAAGCTGGTTTAAAGAAGAAATATATTTGCTTTGATAGTGAAGTATCATCAGCATCAGTTGAAGCAACAGTTCAATGCATTTAAATTATGTGTTTTTACAACATTTAACTGCAGTTGTTTAAGTAGAAATAACTTCTAAAGTAGAACTGCTGAACATCTCTTGTCGACACATAAAAACCAATGTGCTCATTAAGGGAAACTGCAATTTGTCCACAGCAACTGTACAAACCAGGTAATTTCACAAGCGATGATTTGTTTTCTAGGTACAATTATTCCCACTTACAAAACAGAATTTATTATTGTAAGGCTTTTTTTTCTGAACTGTGGTTTCTTACTACTTTGGGACCCTATTTGTTTATAGAAATCGTTCATGTTCTTCAGTCAAAATGTCTTTAGGCTTCGCAGAGCAAAACCTGAAAACACTGATCTTGGATGAATAGGGGGTTTATTTTGCAATATTTAACAATGGGTGCTTGCATAATTAAATTACATGTTGCATTTGCACATAATACATAGACTATATACTATGATGCTGCTGACAAACCTGTAATGATCCATATAATTTCTTTTTGTAATCACAACCAATAATGTGTTCATATAACCTATGAATGCACCTCATGTTCAGATAAGTATGTTAAAACCAATCCTTTGTCTTGGATAATACAATGAATACATTTGTTAAATCTTATATACAATATATAAATAAAGAATATGTATAAACATACAGTTATTACACATGCACACATGTATGTGCTGTATATATATGAAGTAAAAGAGCATGTACAATTAATCCATTAATTGAATTTAATGGAGGAAATACCATATTTTTAAATTAATGTTGCTGCATATTTCCATAAAAGATTAATGTACTGTGATTAATATTACATCCAAAAAATCTTACCTGCTGATGGCTAATAAAACCAGAAAATAATATGTTATAGCCTAGCTTTAATGCTACAGGAATCTGAGAACATGGACAAAATGAAACCACAGGAAAGGGTCTCATGAACGATGAAATGATTCCAACAGGTCATGTTTCAGTTACACGGGACATTTTTGTGTTTCACTATCAGTAAAAGTGTTATGTGGTCTTCTTTTTTTTCCAGTGTAAGGGATCTGCTTCTCACCATGAGGGGCTTGCTACTGCTCTCCCTCCTGGCACTGTGCTTTGCCTCACCCTATAGACCCCTAAATCTGAAGAAATTCTTGAAGGCACCCGAGCTCATGCTGGATTATGAAGAGGATGGTAACAACAGCCTGCCAATTTTTAACAGAAGGAACAGAGCAGTGACCCCCTCAGGATTTCCCTACTCAATCTGCCCCTTCGGATGCCAGTGCACACTCAGGGTGGTCCAGTGCTCTGATCTAGGTAAACGCACACTCTCCGCCTCGTTAATATCTATAACAGGTTCCAATGCAATGTAAGCCTATGGTTTTAACTACTGGGAAATGGAACAACTATATAGCGTGATCACTCGTGTCTTACTAAAGGAGAAATCGATTGTTTACACCATAGTGCGTACGCAGATCTGATATGCTTCTATGAAAATGAACATTAGTTTAAAAAAATATGTATCTGTTCACTGCTTCTTCCTGTCTTTAATACCTTAAAGAGTAGTTTAGGCAACCTGCGTAAGACTATATTTATATACATCTTCCACATTGAAGAACGCAAAAGACATCTGTTTAATATTAGAATGCACAAAAACAGGACTGATTTCAATTGCTTCAATGTGAGTTGGATGAGTACTTTGATGCAAGTTAGCATGAAAAATTGCTATTTTATTCTATGCACCCGCTTTGGGATCACCAATTGGGCCTGTACGTCTCGGCTCAAAATACTGACCCCTGTGCCTATAGAAAAGGAAAAGGAAATTTAGACAGGCTCTTCAGACCTACCTGCCCATCAACTCATTTATCTTTTGACATGGCGAGACGTACAGGAGGGTCAGTACTGGTTGGAAGAGAGGTGCGTTCTTCACTGATGCCATCATCAGGCAGCTGTTTGCCCCCAAAAGTAGGACAATTAATCCTGACCCTATCCCCAGTCAGACAGCAAGCCGACTCTGAGCTGCTGTTTGAGGAATCTCGGTCACAGTCAGCTAGTGACATGTCCTGTCCTGAGGGAGTGAGAGACCTTACCGTTAAGCCAAGCTGGATGAGTTAATTGTGTTTGAAACTTTGCAGTGAAATGGAAATTTAGATTATAGAGTAATCAACTACTTGAGAAAAATGCATGGGATACATAATTACAATCATCTAGCTAATGTGTTGGAGTCCTTGGACTTGAGATCAAAAACATGCAAGCCTGGAAAACAAATACAGCTGTTAGCAAACAAATCTAAGTAATTGTTTCAGTCTGCTATGTTTTAAATAAATTGAACACCACTGTTCTAGTCCATTATATATTTGTAGAAAGGAATTTAAATTAGTAAGAAATGCTGTTTCCGATGCTCAGCCTCCATAAACCTATACTTCTGCGACCAACAAAAGCGCTGGATGAATTAAATGTTATAATGGAAATATTACATATTCTGCATATCTTTCTCCTGACTCTAGACAACCATTTTAAATTCATCTAAACTGCAACAGACTAAAGGGGGATCAAATCTACACATGATTTTTAATTTACCATACAGTTTGTCGGAGCTTTTAAAGGTCTGCAGTGAAAAAATACCAACATTCTTTTTTTTAACCAACAGGTTTGAAATCAGTACCGAATGACATCTCCACAGATACACTGATGATTGATCTTCAGAACAACAAAATAACTGAAATCAAGGAGAATGACTTCAAGGGAATGAATAAGTTATACGTAAGATTAATTATTCTACATTTCAAGTAGACTTGGTACATTTTCCACTTGACACTAAACTGTGCAAACAAAGGATGATATTTTGATGGCATCATCTCACTGTAATGACACTAAGATTCCAATTTAAGACAAGGTCTAGGCTACATGAACCAACTTGCTTTCTGAAAGTCTGGATGACACTCCTTTCTCTTGGGTTACGTACAATGTACTTGACTCATTTGCAGGTTTTGACACATATTGCTATCTCACCTTACAATGTTTTTTTTTTTAAAAAGGAAACATGGTGACAAGTTTTATATCCTGGAAACAAAGGTGTTTTTTTTTTGGCACATAGTTTAAGAATGTGCACAAAAGCGTCATAGCCTGAATCTAATAACAGTGTTAATCCTCTTCCTATCAAATTTTGTGTTGTGTTATCGAGGAGCGTGGCTACTAGCTTTCTGTGAGTATCTAAAGCACATATTGTAGTGCACCCAAATGTGCTGATGGAAATGGATATTACTCTTCGGAAAATGTGCTAAAACCCTCTAGTTCTAATACATAAAGGTTTAAATCTCTTGTCTCAGAGTCCAAGACTGACCAGAAATGTGTGTGCAATTTTTCAGCTGTTATTTGTTCAGAAAGAAAATATATCTAAATCTATTTTCATATTGCAATTAAATGTTTTTATTTGGCAGCTACATCTTAAGCAGGCTCCAAATGAGCAAGACACACACTCTCACTCTCTACGCAGTCCTAGATTCCCCCTCAATAAACAATTTTATCCAGAAAACAATAGTTGTCATAACAAGACAATTCTTAAAAACCACTTAAATGGGTTTTGCAAAGGGCTGTACTGGTTACATTGTGGTTAAATGAATTACAAACAAATAGCAAGCATCAGAAACAAAGCCTGTATGCATGGAGCACAGATGCTTGTTTTCCATCTATTTGGCTTAAACACTGCAAAATTAAGTACTTACAACAAACAGTGATTTGTTCTTGAGGCAAGGGAATGGGAAAAAAAATTGTCATAAGGTTTTCCATTGGCCAGATGTTAGAGGGGTCAAATGCTGCCCTTAACAACGCCAGTTTCCGTTTCATCATCAGCCTGCTTCAGCTGGTAACACAGTAGTTTTTTGTCACCAGCTTGCATTGGAAGGGAAACTTTTGATAATGTTTTCAGACGGTACAGTAGATTATAAAAGACGCTGTTTTTCCATGTCTAAGCACCTCCAGCACCAATGGCTACTTTCATTAATTTGACCACTAGTTTTGCAGCTGTTGAGTCATGTGGTATAAGAATTTCTGAAATAAATATTCTGAAATGAATAAAGCATACTTTTAATTATGCAGGCAATGAGCAGATGCTTTTACAAATGGTAAGCAACTATCGGGTTGCAGAACCAGCCAAACTTAAATAACTATCAATGGGAGAAAGCAGTGGTTCTGTTGCTTAACACAATAAATCTGAACATAATAACCTGGTAATGTGAACTCACTTGGTTCAATTTCTGACTTATAATCTGTGATGGAGTTTCTGAAGTATGTCTGCAAAAGTAATTTTGCGTTAAAGTGTAGATGCTAAAAAATAATGATATTCAACAACAAAGAGCACTGCCATCAAAACACAGATTTGCTATATGGGTCTTAAAATAACAGCTGTCATATATAATAAACGACAGACTTCTGAAAACCATATGTGCTACTGTGTAGCGGACGCCAGCTATGATAGAGTGAATACCTCAGCTTTAAAAAAAAAGGAAAGGGTTTTTTCTGATTAAATGATTGAACCTGTAATTACATTTCCACAGCTTAAACCTGGCCTTTTTTTGTAACAATGCAGGTCTTTTACTACTTTAATGACAATTACACTGTATTTTGATTGTAAGGAAAGGCAGCAGAGCCACGCTATATTGTAAATCAAAGCTTAATTCCCTTGACTTCACTTTAAGTTCTGTGCATTAAAGAAAAGGGGAACTTAAAGCTGTTATCAACCATATACGTTGTAGTTCCTCAAAATGTGCATTAAAGCTTGGCCCATGAACAGATGCAACTTAAATTTAGTTTTGAGCATGAGCCATAACTAAACATACACAGGAGTGGGTGGAGGGCTGAGATCTCACAGTATTTATATCACAGCTTATAAAACAAGGAGCCTCTTTCATTCACAGTCCTATCATTGAACTGTAATTGCCTTTAAGAACATCCAGTAGATGCCCTTATGTTATAAGCATTACTTCTTATCACATAAATCAAAATGAGTCTTCAGTATTTAGATGGAGAATTCCTTAATGCATCTACTATGCATTACAGGTGGGTAGTAATACTATGCATTACTATGCAACATAAAATGGAAGGCACGTCTATATTTAACTTAGAATCAAGGACATTTAGGATGGAAAATGCCCCTTTCAAACCAAACTATATTTTATTTTTGTATCTTTTTGTTGTTTTACATCATGCATTCCCCAGTTTTATGTTATTAGTTACCACTTGTCCCAATATCAATTACTGAAACTCTTAGTCTTGTTTACATGCAGACTTTTTATTTTTCATTCTAGGCACTATTTCTGCTCAACAACAAAATAACAAAGATACATCCAAAGGCTTTCCGCAGCATGACAAACCTACAGCTGCTGTACCTCTCCCATAACCTGCTGCCGCAAGTTCCTGCCAACTTGCCCAAAAATATACTGGAACTGAGAATCCACGATAACAAGATCAGGAAAGTCCAAAGAGATGCATTCAAAGGGATGAGGTCCTTGCATGTTTTAGGTATGTCTTTCAAAAACAGATATAAGCTTGAACATACATTAAAAACCATCACAAATGTTTATATAGTGTAAACCTTCATAACCCAGTGAACTGTGTGTCTTATGCATTCAACAAGAAGTACAGAACATCAGGATTCTGTACTATTACCATTAAGTCTGGAAATAACAATATCTTGCAAAGTATTTCAGTATTTGCAACAAATCTAACTGCACGATTAAATGCCACCTTAACCATTCTTGTGGTGCATAATTCACTATGTTAAAAAAAAGCTTTTTAATTTTCTTTGTTCTCTCTCATCTAACTTTTAGAAATGAGTGCAAACCCACTTGAAAACAGCGGCATTGAAATAGGAGCGTTTGAAGGCATGTCTGTGCTTTTTTTAAGAATTGCGGAAGCAAGGCTCACCGCAGTTCCGAAAGGTGAGGTCAACAAACAGTAAACTCCAGTCCAAAAACAAACCGATCCACATCCTGTTAATATTGTGTTGTTTCGGGCTCACAGGGGGATTGTGGAGTTCATACTCATTCTGACTCAGTTTTGCAGTACAACACCACTGTTAGGAACTATACTGTTCGCCTACTCATTTGACTCAGCAATCCTGTGGCCAAATTCATTCCTCTTTCTCATAATGATTAGGCTTTTCAGTAGCAAAGCTCAGATAAAAATTCCAGATACTACACACAAATCATCAGGTTCTAATCATTACTAAACTCCCTTATGCTGGAGATGCACAAGTGCTTTGTACTTGTCACTTTTACCTACCAACAAAGAATCCATTTTTAAGCAATTTTAAGATATGGACTAAGCAACTGCTGAGTCATTATCAACATTATTAAAATGTTAAGGTCAACAATGACTCAACAATGAGTCAGGGAGCTGGAGGCAAGCTGTTGAAGCTAACAGCCTGGCATCCTCAAAGACGTGGCTGAGCAGTTTGCTGTCAGTCAGTTAGCCAGCAGAAATCAAGTGAGCATGATCGGCCTCATGCATGGACCAGAGAGCACCCAGAGACCAGAATAAGGTACAGTGCTTATCACAGCTGGTTTCTGAGCTTCATTGTCACATTCGCTGGTGATTTCTATTACATTTCTTTCAGTTCTTTCAGTTTGCAATATAGCTGGCCCTTTTAATTTATTCATCCATAATAAATGCCTAATTTTGAAAAGAAAAATATTTCTCTAAAAAGACTGCCTTTTAACAGCTGCCTTATTTAATAAAACACAGCAATTAAGAAGTGCGGCATCATTGGATGAACACACTGCCATCTGAACTAGTATATGTAGAGTAGGTACTGTATATATTCTAAAAACATCAGACTGTTAGCTAATCAGACAAAGTCAGTTTTGACCTCAATCAGAGATGCCAAGCTACTGTGGCAGAAAATACTGTTTGTGCACACTACCTCCGATCTTACATGGAGATCTACAAGTCAACTTTAACTTGTGGAGTTCATGTGTGGCTTCACCCGTCAAGACACTCGCTGTCACTCGGGATCCTGTGACACAGAACTAAATGAGGGACAGTCAGCGTGGATTGGCTGGAGAGCTGATGACTCCTCAAATTGCCCTGAATTTGTTGCTTGCTAGGCCGTGAGAGCCACATCACTCCTGCAGTCAGTGCACATCACATCATCATTGTACAGGCATTAACAGGGTAGGAATAAGAAAGCCTAGGCTTTCTCAGCTCCCAGCAAAACTGTGACTCTTGCTATTTTCAGTGACGTAGGTGATAGAAGTGCCACTCCACTCTTAGTAGCACGCCTGCTCTTCCTCACTCTCCCCATGCAGTACCAGGGTTGCTGGTGCGAGACGAGACATAAACTACATAAGATTATGTTTAAAAAAAACAACTTTTGGTTGCCAAAATGCAAACTCTCATGTATATGGTAAAAAAAGCAGTCAGGTATTAGGGCGTAATCCTGACGTCACACAGCAGGACCTTTGTGATTTTAAGATATCCGTTCACATATCACGATTTGCAAAGGAATTACTGAAAATGAAATGTGTCGCTGTTTCGGTCGGATTTATTTAAATCTTTTCTAAATGTTTTTTTTTTTTTCCAAGATCTCCCTTCTTCGCTCTCTGAGCTTCACTTGGATTACAATAAGATTGGGAAAGTGGAAGTGGAAGATTTTATTCGGTACAAAAATCTGCAAAGGTACAATAATATACAGTATTTACCTAATATACTCTACATGCCTACACTGGGATGTTTAAGCTATTACAAACTTAATTCTGCCAAACAGCCCTTTTACAGTCCTTACCCTAGAGGACACCTTTATTTTCATTTCAACTGAGCTCTTGGAAAAAAGTTTAAAAACCCTGCTAGGAAAACTGGTAGTCCCTCCAGGACCAGGTTATTGCTGATAAAGCTAAATGTATTCTTTAAAGGAAATAAATGGTTTTAAATTATTTATATGACATGTGTGTTGTATGATAAAGATTGAAACTGAACTGCTCTGCATTACAGGCTGGGACTTGGATATAACCAAATTAAAACCATAGAAAACGGAAGTTTAGCCAGTCTTCCCAATATCAGAGAACTTCACCTGGATAACAACAAACTCAAGAAGGTTCCGCCAGGTTTGGCATCACTGAAGTATTTACAGGTAAGTATAAGCAAAAAAGAACTTGTAAAAACATGGAAAGTTGTCTTCATCTGAAAATTTTATAGTATTTTAAACTATAGATAGGGGAGTTAGTAAGTTAAGTCATTAGGACAACAAGGATTCCTTCTGTCTTATCTCTCTTGCTTATTTTTATAAACAAGCCATTTTTCCATTATACTGGAGCTCAGCTTCGAATGTTGTTCAAATATCCAAATCTGCTCAAGATGTACAATGTCAAGTAGCCTTTTAATGATCTGATCAGTCTGGGTCCCAAAAGTCTTATTACCTAAATGAAGACAAAGTTGCCCAAAGTAGTCGCCACAAAGCCCAAAGAATAATCTCCTTATACGATGGCTGTGATTAAGATATTATTAGTATTTGCTGAAAGTGGCATTTTTAAGCAAATTAATTAGAACAGCGCTGCTTTAGCTCAGTTTGAAAGTAACTGAACTTTAAAGGTTCCTGAAAACAGATTGCTGTTCACAATAACATGTAAATAATGAATTTCCCAAGTCGGGGGTAATAAAGGTCTTCTAATCTAAATACTACTTTTCTTTTTTTCCCCGCACAGGTGGTATATCTACATGCCAACAATATAACCAGCGTGAGCGTCAATGACTTCTGTCCCTCAGGAAGTAATGTGAAGAAGACTCCATACTCTGGGATCAGCCTCTTTGCCAATCCCGTGAAATACTGGGAGGTGCAGCCGGCCACTTTCCGCTGCATGTCCAGTCGAATGGGAGTGCACCTCGGAAATTTCAGGAGAAGGAAGTGAAGTCCTGCTTCCATGAATGCCTAACCTTTAAAACCGGAAAATGGAATTGAAGCTGAAGAGGTGTCATTACTTGAAGTTCAACTCAACTAAGCAAGCTGGAGTCTGCAGTGCAGACAGACGTACATCACCCAAAAAGAAATTGTGTTTCTGTTCGAAGAGAAATGCGGGTGCCTTTTGTTTTGATACCCCAGTTTTTCATTGCTTGCAGCACACAATTTGCAATAAGTAAGAGGAACAGATGAGAAAGGTAAAAGACCTTTCAAGAATAATCACTTCTATAGTCTAAGAAATCAGAATTGTAGATTCTCTAAAAATCCTTTTTTGTTGTAAACGAAAGCACTTTTCAACATAAAAAGAGATCAGACGTTGGACAAGAGTTAAAATTTGAATGTCCTATTTACTAAACTCTTTTTAATACAATGCCACTTTGTAGCATTCTTATTGTGGGCATTTTTTTTCTTCTTTTCAAAAAACTTTTGTTGAACAGGTAGAGACGGGGAAATCAGTTATTGCTATTGGAAAGAAAAGGAATCAAAGTAAAAGACCACATCAACCCTCGCCTAAGATTTGACGTTGTCTGATGCTCAGCTACCAGCACTCTATTTACAACTTCTGCTGTCATTTACTATAGAACATTTAGGATAGAATAATAATTGATTATAGGATTTTTAGTTTTACAGATACTCTAAATGGAAAAATGCATATATACACACATCCAGTTAAACGTTTCACCTTTTTTTGGGGGAAAAAGACATCCAGTTTTTCTTTAATCTTAACTATAAATCCAAAAACCACTCTGCAGCACCCTCTGGTGCTTAAATGAAAACGATTCTGTCTGTGCACTAAAATGGAAACAACACCACACCAATTTGCCTAACAAAGAAAATCCTCCAGTAACTGCTCTTTGACTAAATTAGTACTATTGCAAAAGTCCTGTTTCTGTCTTTAAAAATAGACATCGCGAACATGCACAAAGCAGTAATTTCATAAACATTCATAAAACTGAGATGAAGTAGCAACCTAAAAACAAGGTTTGTGTACTTTTTTAAAATGGCATTTCTCTCCATTTATCATTTCAGACAACCTAATCCCATAACTAGCATAATTTAAAGCTGAGCTTTAAAAACAAAGTTGGCAGACGTCTTTGTGACATACCACTATTGTAAGGTTTATTGTTAGCACCCTCGTTTTTGGTTTAGAGAAGAAATTTAATTTTGCATGCTTCCGTTATATAACATGTAACTAAGAACATTCTGTTCCCCTTTAATTTTGTTAATTTAGATTTATGGTGCTTAATTATGAACAACTTATAATTGATCAAGTTCTTTTAATGAAATGTTGTCAAGTACACTTTCATTTTTAGCATACTCCAATGTATAGAATACTGTATATTTATTATTCAGTTTGAATAAACAGTACAGTCTCCAAAAAAAATGACTGAAATGTTTTCTAGATTATTTATGTTCATTTGACTTAGACCTCTTTATGATTATTATTCTCAAAGTGTTTACATACAGTCAAATATTAAATACTGATTAAATACTGCACAATATGAATATATATATATAATAACACAGTTTCTAGGTTTGTTATACAGCATACTGATCTACCAGCAGGTGGAGCTTTTGTTTTACAAGCAGGCGAAGAGCAATTTTCATGTGGTGTGAGGACAGCTGTGCCACTGGAGGGATCAATCTGCACATACATGTGTAATAGTATTTGCAATGTTGTTTACTTTATTTAGAAAAGATACTTTTACTTTTACTAAATAATTGCAGACAGCATGATTGAATAATAAAGGCAGCATGTATACTACAGAACATAGGAGGTGGCGGGGTTGGGCTGTCACCAGAAGGTGATTTTCAACAAGAGAACAGAGGTACTTATATTCCACACATTTGTCTAGACTTTCACATGAGCTGCGGTTATGCAGAAACCAAAAGCCTTTGGAATAACAAAGATATAAAGGAGGTCTGAAGATGCAGCCTTGCACCAGAAACAGTTGTGCCATATAAAAAACATCAAAGTCAATGCCCATTTTTTTAAGTATAGTTCTAGATTTTTTTAACACAGTGTGAAAGCATAGAGTTAAATATTCACCATTTATGACAAAAACAGTTTCAAATGAAACAGCTGTCTGTGTCTAAAAGAAGTTTTCTCACAGTAACTACTCTGCAATTTAGAGTGCAAGATAGCTCACTTTTTACTCCACTTTCTTCCCAGCTTCTAACCAGGTGTTTGACTTTTACAAGGTGTTCAGGTATTCTGCAGACTCTTCAAACCATTCCTCCTTTCAAGATAACAATCTCAAATCTTATTAACAGCCAGGTGCCCTGGATATTCACCATTCATTTCATGAGACAACATGTAAGCAAATTCCCCTTGCATTTAAGTGTAATTTCAAGTATTGCTTCTTCAAGTTGCTAGAGCATTTCCATGAAAACTCCTTTTCGTGGAGTGTTTTTAATGCAGGCATAAGGCATTTTAAGGACAAAAAATAACTATGGCAAAATAAAAGCATCTGTACCATACTTGATTTGAAACTCTTTATCATATGTAAGCAAATTCCTTGCTTTTCATTTTAATCAGAACCGTTAGCCTGAGCCAGTTATTAAAATCAACACTATGGGTAAAAAACAAAACAAAAAAAGATTTCCCTGGTTTTGGCAGGTTAGTGCTTTGTCTCTATTGAAAAAAGGGTCACAATCCATCTGTTTTACTCTCTTAATCACAAATTGGACGGACTTGCTATTTGAGAAAGAGGCTGCAGAAAGGAAACATATGGAACGAATCTGCAGGTTGGCCTGAACTCATTCTGCCACGTTTCACATACCGACGTCTCTTCGAAACTCAGAAACAGGTTTAAAAACATTTACCTTCACACCACCAAGACAGCATAATTCAGTCAAAGAAGCACCTGGCTTTACAAAGGATCCCAATAAAGGCAAAGGACGCTTGAAATGGATTTTTTTGCCATTTCTGATTACATGGCTAATGGATATTACTTCCTAGAAACCGCAAATGTACAGTACACCGTGAAAGATTTGGAGGGGCAATGCACATAAGATTAATTGTAATGCTGATGGATCTCAGCTGATTATTACTCAGATTTTCGACAATGCCAAAAGTGGCTCTCTACAATGTTTAGAATGTTTCAGCCCTGAATACAACTCTTAATTTCTTATTATCCTTTTAAGGAGAATTTAAAAATGTTGGAATCATGTCATTAATTTGTTGTCCATTACCCTTTTTTTCTGTCACATGGGAACTTGAAAAGAAGCAGGCCTACCACAAACCACCCCAAATATATCCATAAGCAAACTCACACCCTATTTGTATTACTACTACCATGAAAGACATCAAATCTAACTAATTAAATTTACTATTCTAATGCAGGTACCGTTTTATCCTTAATACCCAGCCTGTCCTTTGAGCTTTTAAGCTTAATCAAATCTTCCTCAGTATAAAATTAACTTAAAGAGACTGAAAGAAAGCCTAAACTGCCCTGGACCATGAAACTACTCATTGACATGTGTCAGCATTCACATTGATCTCCTTGGGGTTTATCAAAAGACTATTTGGGGTCCCTCATCATTTCCTGATTGTGATACTGGTTTCACACAGTCAAGATCAAGACAGTTCTAAATGCAAAAAAAAAAAACATTTTAATGTAATTTTAATAAAACATGGATAAGTATTCAACAACTCTTTAATATATTTCTAGTCATTCCTCACAGCTCCGTGAAGTTGCCCCCCTTACAGACAGCACAAACGATTAAACCCACCTCATTCGATAGTGCTACGTTTGTGCCGTTGAAAGTAGAGTTTGTGCTACTTTTTTCAGGAGATATTGCGCCTTGTTTTTTCGGGGTCGTGACGTCACTCAGCCCCCCTACAATGTCGCAGGGAAACCAAATCGGTCTCATTCGTTAGTGCTACGTTTGTGCCAGTTTGTGCCCTTGAAAGTAACTTCCCAGCTTTTTTCTTTCCCGACCAGACAGACTCGGAAAACAAATTGCCCCCCCATTATTTTCATCACAATCAGGAGCTCAAGTACCGAGTTTGTTGGTACCTGTAAACATCCTTGTAGATAGTCACATGATTACCCGAAATAACAAGGCGCTACTGTATATCTCGGAAACGAAAGCAGCACAAACGCAGCACTAACGATTGC